CTCAGGCAATGCACTCACCTCAGCCTCCCAAAGGCACGGGATTACAGGCTGAGCCACCGAGCCCGGTGCTTGTTGTTTTTTTGTTTGTTTGTTTGTTTGTTTTGAGTCAGTCTCACTCTGTCGCCCACGCTGGACACTCAAGGCCACCGCAGCCTCCACTTGCTGGGCTCAGGCAATCCTTCCTCCTCAGCCTTCCAAGAAACTGGCACCACAGGCACGCACCACCAAGCCCAGCCAATTTTTTGATTTATTGTAGAGATGAGGTCTTGCCAAGCTGCCCAGGCTGGTCTTGAGCCCTGGACTCAGGCAATCTTCTCGCCTCAGTCTCTCAAAGTGCTGAGATTACAGGCATGAGCCGCTGCCCTTGGCTTTTTTCTATTTTACTGTTTGTTTTTTTGAGTCGGATTCTTACTCTGTTGCCCAGGCTGGAGTGCAGCAGCACACTCATGGCCCCCACAACCTCTGTCTGCTGGGATCAGGTGATCCTTCCACTTCAGCCTTCCAAGTAGCTGGAACTACAAGCGCGTGCCACCATGCTGGGCTAATTTTTGGATTTATTGTAGAGACGAGGTCTCACCAAGTTACCCAGGCTGGTCTTGAACTTGTGGGTTCAGGCAATCCTCTCGACTCAGACTCCCAAAGTGCTTGGGATTACAGGTGTGAGCCATCACGCCTGGCTAGCTGCATCATATTCTATGTATACCTGTGTCCTGGTAAGTCAAACATTCACTCACTTGGTAGTGGAAAGCCACGTAGCTTCTAGTTTTTTGTTACTGCAAACAATACAAGCATAGATATGCGTGTGTGTCCTTAAGTACATGTGCTTTTATTCCTGTAGAAAAGATTTCTAGACATGAGGTTAACTGGTCAGAGTATGTTCAAATTTGAGATTAAAAGTTTAAAAGTTGTTCTTTAATAATGTTCCTTTGCCTTTTTAAGGAATGTAGTAAAAAAACAAAAACTGATGACCAAGAGAATGTGTCAGTTGATGCACCAACTCCAGCCCAGGAAAGTGGAGAGGCAAGTAGATTTTTATTAAGCTTTGTTTCACCCTAGAGTAAATTGCTGTTTCTCTCTTTCTCCTCTTTGGGGGCTCACAGCACCATGCATATCATCGCTCTAAGAAACTAAACTGGAAGGGACTAAAGACGAGTGCTCAGCAGCTTATCAGTGGCAGAAGGCCTGTCTTCTCAGAGCATACTGTATTGGGAACAAAGCAATTGTGTTGTGATATTTAAACTTTGAATTTTTTTCAGTAGAATTCTTTAAAATGGGGATTGAGATAGGTAATTTATAAAATAACTTGAATTTCATGATTCTATACGTTTCTTTTTCTTTTCTTTTTTTTTGATTCAGAGTCTCACTCTGTCACCCGGGCTAGAATGCCATGGCACACTCACAGCCACTCCAGTGTCAACCTGCTGGGCTCCGGCGATCCTTCCGCCTCAGCCTTCCAAGTAGCCGAAACTACAGGTGCGCGCTACCACACCCAGCTAACTTTTGATTTATTGTAGACGCAACGTTTCACCAAGTTGCCCAGGCTGGTTTCTAACCCATGGGCTCAGGCAGTCCATTCACCGCGGCCACTCAAAGTGCTGGGATTACAGGCTGAGCCACCGAGCTGGCCAGTGTATTTTTCTAATAGTTTCTTTTCTAATTCAGTTCTTGTCTTTAAGTTCTCCTTAATGATGGTTTATGTTTATTGGGTACGTACTCTCTTTGAACCTGACACTAAAGAATGTGCTTTTGCCAGATACAACAGCTCATGCCTATAATCTCAGCACTTTGGGAGGCTGAGGTGAGAGGATTACTTGAGCCCACAGATTCAAGACCAGCCTGGACAACTTGGCGAGACCTCATCTCTACAATAAGTTTTTTTAAAAAATTAGCCAGGCGTGGTGGCACATGCCTGTATTTCCAGCTACTTGGAAGGCTGAGGCAGAAGGATTGCCTGAGCAGGTCGAGGCTGTGGTGGCCATGAGTGTGCCACTGCACTCTAGCCTGGGCAACAGAGTGAGACCCCAACTTAAAAAAAAAAAAAAAGAAGAATGTGCTTTTATGTGCAGTCTCATTTCACGCTCAGAGTAAGCATTTCAAATAAGCCCTACTATTATTCCCATTTTAATGAAAGATGTGGTAGGGAGGAGTTAAAGTCACTTCTTCTCTTAGAAAGTACTGGTACCAATTTTTTTAATGGAGAATTGACAACAATGGAAAAGCAAGTAGTAGATTTTCTTTGTTTAGTAGTCCTGATATGTTTCTGATAGGCATTTATCTGGTTCCCTGTTTATGCTGTGGGCATTGTGGGGCCTAGGAAGCAGCAGGGCCTGAGACTAGCACCCTAAGAGCTGGCACAGGTAGAAGAGGTGTAGGGAACACTGGATACCTGGAGCCAGGCGGGTCTAGTGCTTCAGAACAGCTGGGCCTGAGCCTCCCACCCCCACGCCTGCCCTATGGTTATGTCACCTCAGACAGATACCTAACCCCCATGAGCCCCATTTCCTTATCAGTGAGATGGGGAGTTGAGTTACTTCCCTCCCAGGGCTGTGGTGAGGATGAGATAAGGCATGTGTACAGCTAAGTGTGTACTCTTCCAGAGCAGCAGTAGACACACTGTTTGGATAAGAACAGTTGTGGAGGGATAGTGAAGAGGGCACTGGAGGGTGAGAGAATTCAAGGTGGAAGTGTAGGGATGGGGCTTTCAGGGAGCACTACCTACAGAAGGTTGGCAAGATCAACAAGGGCCAGTATGGCCGAATGTGTGAGGGCCAAGGGGGACCATAATGGCCACTAGCCATGTTGAGCCCCTGTGAGCAAGGGACTGCTGTTGAGGGCTACAAGCAGAGCAGAGAGGTGGTTTATGTTTTTAGCAGTTATCTCTGGGGACACAGGAGCCAGTCAGAAAGGAGAGGGCAGAGGGGCTCAAGGGTGGGTGCCAAGGTTCTATAGTTACAGCATCTAAATGAGTAGAGAGTCACTCGTTACTAAGACAGGGATTGGGCAGGGGCTGATTTGAGCAACAGCAGATCAGTCTTGGATGGCTGGAGAATCCTGTTGCACATCCAAGTGGAATCCCAGAGCCAGCAGTGAGCTGTGTAAGTTCGGAGCTTCAAGGGAGAGGCCAGGCCAGCAGGCACCCAAGGGGAGCTATAGGACTGAGTGAACTCGGGGAGTGCGGAACTAGAGGAGTGATCAGGGGCTGGGTCATGTGCACCAAGGAGGAAGTGGGGGTACAGGAGGAGGGGAAGGGCTAGCCTGGACAGCCTCCAGAGCACAGTAGTATTAGTTTTTTCTACCACATCACAATGGTAGGGCCACTTCCATCCCTGATTGTTATCTGCATGAGTCCCTAGTGCCCTGTGTCCCTCCACCACCTTGGGCTTCTCAGAGGAAGAGATAGTCCCTCTGCCTGCCCCTCGCCCCAGGCCTGGCCCCAGTATTGTCTCCAGCACTTGCTATGAATTTTGTGTGTTGGTGTTAGCCTTCCTAAAGAAGTATTTTAAAGAGTATTTGTTGAATAATCACACGGAAACGTCATTCTTTCGTAGAAGGGAGAATTCCACAAGTTGGCTGATGCCAAGATATTTCTGAGCGACTGCCTGGCATGTGACAGCTGCGTGACCGCAGAAGAAGGAGTCCAGCTTTCCCAGCAAAATGCCAAGGACTTCTTTCGCATTCTGAACCTTAATAAGGTATGGCACTCGGGTGCTTGCTGGTGCTGGGGACTGATGTGGGGGTGGGCGAGATTGAGGGGAGGCCCGTTCTCTTCACTTGCATGAAGCCTCTGCTGAGACATTAGACAAACATCTCAATCTTCTTCCTGTCTCACCAATGTTCCCTACAGTAGTTGTCTTTCTCCCAGATCCCTCAACCAGGAACAAAACCCCTGCACTGATTCACTCTCCCTTGCCAATGTTCAGACAATGCTTACACTCCCTTGCCAATGCTCATCAGGCTCCTATGGCTGAGATCCTATGGATGGCACAGTGCCTGAGCTGATGCTATTCTACCTTCAGAGCACGTTTTCAGAGATGGGGGTTATGATCTAATGGATTCATCAGACTGGGGCAAGGTCAAGACTCTCCAAGGAAGTACAATCCCACAGCTCCCTCCTTCAGCTTGCCCCTGCAGACCTTCTGTTCAAAACTACCTGGTGTCACTTGTCTTTCAGTGAGATGATGAAAGAGAAAAAAAGGAAAGATGGAGATAGATGAGGAGGAAAAGTACTTCTTGATTTACAGCACTCTCTCCATGGGAAGCATCATCATCCCCCCACTTTGCCCAGGACATCGGCACCCTGACCCACATGACAGAGTAGATTAGGCTCTGCTGTCCTGCAGTAGTTGGTGTGCTAGAACAAGGTGGGGGCCTTGAGAAACACTGGCTGACACAAGTTTCGCAGCACAGGGGGCAGACTCAAGCAACCTTCTTAGTATTTGCCACTTACCCTGTGGCATCTTCTGGACAAGTCATCCAGCGTTATGTAGATCATAGTTTCAGACAAAAATACACGTCTTTGTATTAACATTAGTTGTGTCTAGGTGTGCCCTGCCTGGTGTACAGGTACCTGGGAGGTCCATGAGCAGGCAGCAAGCTGCCTGGTTAGGGTAGTCTGAGCCTAGGAGATCCTCCATCAGTCATGTTCACAATGTATGCCTGTCCCCTACCTGTTCATCCTCTGCCTTAAGGGAACAGAAAAGCTTTAGTCATTTTATTACATTGAACAGACTTGAATTGCTTATGATACAGCTTTGTTTCCCTGGAGCACTCTGTGGGACTACTAGAAAATTTAATTCTGTAGTGTCAATAGTTTTTGCCAAAATGTCCTTAAAAGTATCTGTGTCACTTTACACTCCCACACAGGATGCAGGTGAATAGTTATGTCCAGCTATCCTGACCACACTTGATACCAAATTCACAGTTTCTTCCAATCTGATGGGTTGAAAAATGTATCTCATTCGCATTTTCCTGCTTATCAGAGGGACTGGAGAACTTAAACTGTTTACTGACAATTTATATTTTATTTTATCTTAATGCTATTTGTCCAATCTACAATTTATATTGTAGCATAGTGTGGGATTTGAATACAATCTTTTTCATCTGAAAAAACCAATTGCCCCAGCATCTTCTGTTCTTTCCCCATTGATCTAATATATTCCATCTCTCTCATAAATCAAATGCCAATAGATGTGAATCTATTTCTTGACACTTCTGTGTGTGTGTGTGTGTGTGTGTGTGTGTGTATGTGTGTGTGTGTTGGAGTCTCACTCTTGTTGCCCAGCTGGAGTGCAGTGACATGTTCACGGCCACTGCAGCCTTGACCTGCTGGGCTCAAGCAATCCTTCTGCCTCAGCCTTTCAGAGTAGCTAGCTGGAACTACAGATACATGCTGCCACGCCCAGGCTGGTCTCCAACCTCCAGGCTCAGGCAATTCTCTTACCTCAGCCTCCCAAAGTGCTGGGATTATAGGCTGAGCCACTGCACCCAGCCAACTCTTTTATCTTAACCTATCTGTCTTCTCTTGAGCTGCCAACAATTAGTTTTGGTTTAAGGGTGTTGATAAGCCTTGTGATTTTATGCTTGTTTATACTATATTTTTTAGAACAACTTGTAGATGAGAATTATTCACTCCTTAAAAATTTGCTGTTAAATGTTCTGGGCATGATGACTTTTAGGGGCCATATCTCTGGACACCATTTTAGTATATGTGTTTTTTATTGCTGTTGGATCATTTAAGTTATTTATAGGCCAATGTTGTAATTTATATTTTTCTTTTAAAAGTATTCATTTCTCCCAGATATTCACATTTACTGATAAAACATTGTTCTTAAAATTGACAGAGTCTCTTGCATTTATAGTAATGTCTTTTTTGAAATAGGGTCTCAAGCAGACAGGAAGGTAATAGGCTTGTTGCCTATTCATAGGCTATTCATAGGCATGATCATAGCATGTTGCACCCTTAACCTCCTGGCCTCAAACAATCCTCCTGCCTCAGTCTCCCAAGTAGCTTGGATTATAGGCATACACCACTGTGCCTGGCTCATGTCTCATTTTTTGACTCTGATTTTTTTTTCTCCTTAAGTATCTTTGCCAGTGTTTGTCTGTTTTATTAGTCTTTGCATAGAATATCTGTTGTTCTAAATTTCTCATTAAGGTGTCTAACTTTCACTCTTCATGTAATCACCAGTCATCTAGCATCATTCTCTGTTTCTCCTTCTAGAAATGTGATACCTCAAAGCACAAAGTGCTGGTAGTGTCTGTGTGTCCTCAATCTTTGCCTTATTTTGCTGCTAAATTCAACCTCAGTGTAACTGATGCTTCCAGAAGACTCTGTGGCTTCCTCAAAAGTCTTGGTGAGTCACCTTTTGATATATTATGAATGTATAACTTGAGTTTATAAATGCTCTTTTTATCTCTAAAGCTCAATTTTCAAGTGTGCAGGATAGATAAGAAACTTTACCAGAGTTTCATGGAAGGTAAAAGGACCTCATTCCATGTGTCTTGAAACCCATCCTCTGATCGATGGTAGGCAGGTGTCACTTTCCTCCTTGCCTTGGACAAATGGGTGTTTTGTTACACAGTGTGAGCTGAACCCTCTATAGAGGAGCAGGAAGTGACCACCTGCAGGCAGTGTGGACAGGGACACTGGGAGACTCGCACACTGGCCTACCAACCTCCAAGTTTCTTCTCCCCACATCACAGAGGGAGTTTATTTGATAGAGGATCACTTCTGAAATGATTGACATCTAGTTTCCCAGGAAGCTCTCTGAAGGGCAGAGCAGAAAGGGAATGGGTTTGTGTTCTTTATGTGAGGAATGAAAGACAGTAATTTTAAGAATATAATCAGAGAACTCAAATGTAAACACTGAAATAATATTGCTTGAAATATTGATGATAAATGCTTCTGTGTCAGACTGGATCTGTCCTCCAGGTTTGTCAAAGATACTCATTTGCTCACAGTGGTGTTTCATGCCCTTGAGCTTCCTCCTAGCATAACAGTCAGCATGCAGGTTGGGTAAAGGAGAACTTATGCAAGTTGCCGGATAAGAGTTTCTATTATTCCACAATAGTTTTTTTCTTTTGTTTTGTTTTGGTTTGGTTTTTGTTGTTTTTTGTGTGTATTGGAGTCTCACTCTTGTCACTCAGGCTGGAGTGCAGTGGCACGCTCAAGGCCGCTGCAGCCTCTACCTGCTGGTCTTAGGCAATCCTTCTACCTCAGCCTTCGAAGTAGCTGGAACTACAGATGCACGCCATCACGCCCAGCTAGTTTTTTGTGATTTATTATAGAAATGAGGTCTCACCAAGTTGTCCAGGCTGGTCTTAAATCCCTGGGCTCAGGCAGTCCTCTCGCCTCGGCCTCCCAAAGTGCTAGGATTGCAGGCTGAGCCACTGTGCCCAGCCCACAATAGTTTTTCTAAAGATATGAATATACTAGGGATTACTAATGCAATTCCTAATGTCACGTGGAATAAACATTGACATTTGTGAACAGTCCATAGGCATAGGCCTTGTTGCTTCTTGGTGCATAGCACTTTCTCAGGGCCTGATAATTTAATGCATAATGTGCCACAACTAAAACTCTGCTGTAGCTACGAATATGAGCTCATTCAGTCATTCCTTCATGCTTTTAATCTTAAAAATCCTCAGGTTAATTTTCCAAAGATCAAAGTTGAATACTATGTTTTCTCATGGTGAAAGTCCTTATTTTGGAGGAATATTTTTTTAAATATGTCACTGAATATTACATGTTAATATTAATAAAGGAAGTATATTCAGAGTGAAATTGATTTCTTAAAGGCAATACTTAAAATTTATAATATTTCTTCTTAAAAATAACTGGTTACTTTTCAGATTTATACAGCTGTAGATTTTAGAGTTATTTGATATATATATATATAATTGTATATATTTATTTTTTTAGAGACAGGGTCTCACTTTGTCACCCAGGATGGAGTACAGTGGCACAATCATAACTCAGTGCAACCTCAAACATCTTGGCTCAAGCAATCCTTCTACCTCAGCTTCCCAAGTAGCTAAGGGCTACAGGTGCATACCTCCATACTTGGCTAATTTTTTTTTCTTTTTTTTCTTTTTTTTTTTGAGTTGGAGTCTCACTCTGTCGCCCAGACTGGAGTGCAGTGGCCACTCCCGGCCACCGCAGCCTCGACCTGCTGGGCTCCGGTGATCCTTCCGCCTCAGCCTTCCAAGTAGCCAGAATTACAGGCATGCACTACCATACCCAGCTGATTTTTTGATTTATTATAGAGATGAGGTCTCACTGCCCAGGCGGGTCTCGAACCCGCGGGCTCAGGCAATCCAATCACCTCAGCCTCCCAAAGGCGCGGGATCACAGGCTGAGCCACCGGGCCTGGCTTTTTTTTTTCTTTTTTTTGAGTTGGAGTCTCACTCTGTCACCCATGCTGGAGTGCCATGGCACACTTACAGCCACCTCAGCATTGACCTGCTGGGTTCCAGTGATCCTTCCACCTCAGCCTTTCAAGTAGCCGGAACTATAGGCATGCATACCATGCCCAGCTAATTTTTTTTTTTATTTTAGAGACAGGGTCTCACAGAATTGCCTAGGCTGGTCTTGAACGCGTGGGCTCAGGCAGTCCACTTGCCTTGGCCTCCCAAAGTGCTAAGATTACAGGCTGAACCTCCGAGCCCGGCCAAATTTTTAAAAACTTTTTATAGAGATAGGGTCTCACTATGTCATTCAAGCTAATCTCAAACTCCAGCTTCAAGCAGTCCTCCTGCCTCGGCCTCCCAAATTACAGATGTGCTAGAAATTACAGGTGTGAGCCACTGTACCCAACCTCTATTTTATTGTAATTGCTGAAAGTACATTTTGTCTTACAGTTATGTACCAATATTAAGAAAGTTATATTTAAGAAAAACATAGTTAAAGATCAATATAGAAATTAAGTCCTTCGTGAAAGTATGCTCAGCCCTTCTACTATACTCATTTATTTTAAAGATATCAAGGATCATCACAGACTGAAATTTAATATGCAAGTGAATTGGAAGGGAATGACACAGGTACATTATAATATTACATTAATTTAATTATAGAGTACTATGAGGTCTTTTAAAATATAGATGTAGAGAGAAAAAGAAGAAGCAAGAGAGAATTGTGAAAAATGATACCTACTTATTATTAAAAAAAAAAAAAGTAAAGCACATAGTCCTGAACTTATGCCATCAATAGTAGAAAAGAGCCAAGACTGATTTTAGTGTCTTAGGAGAGCTACCCATAGAATCTGTGCTTTAAACTTGTCTCTTAAACATGAGAAAGCAAAAATGAGTAAGAATGAGGAAGTAAGCCAGGCTCGGTGGCTCAGCCTATAATCCCAGTACTTTGGGAGGCTGAGGTGAGTGGATTGCCTGAGCTGGCGGGTTCGAGACCCGCCTGGGCAACTTGGCGAGACCTCATCTCTACAATAAATCAAAAAATCAGCCGAGTGTGGTAGCGTGTGCCTGTAGTTCCGGCTACTCGGAAGGCTGAGGCGGAAGGATTGCAGGAGCCCAGCAGGTCAAGGCTGCGGTGAGCAGGAGTGGACACTGCACTCCAGTCTGGGTGACAGAGTGAGACTCCAACTCAAAAAAAAAAAAAAAAAAAAAAAAGAATGAGGAAGTACTTAGAGGCTAGAAGTAGATCTTATATCATGTGGTGAGAAGCTAAATATGCCTCTCTCTCCTGCAGGGGTACACTACGTATTTGATACGACGATAGCTGCAGATTTTAGTATCCTGGAGAGTCAAAAGGAATTTGTGCGTCGGTATCACCAGCACAGCGAGGAGGAGCACGCACTGCCCATGCTGACTTCTGCCTGTCCTGGTGAGCCCCCAGGGCACCTGCTGGGCCTCTGTTAGCCTGAGACACCATTTCATAAGAGAGTCTGCAGGCATTAGATGAGGTTGGAGGTGGACAGGCCCATCCCACTTGGCATCGTGGACCAGGAGTAGGGAGTTTGACCTGATTCACAGAGGGGATTTTACGTTTTCTGTTAGCCTGTTTATTTTTCCTTCAGAGGTACCATGTTGGAAAGGCCCGTATTTTTCTTAACTGTGAGTAGTTTGAGGGGACACCTGTCAGCTGGGTGATAATTTCTTATTTTCATTTATCCATATTTTTAAAGTTTCTGAGATAAGCATATTATGTATTAAGGAAAATAAATTTGTCTGCTCTTAGAAGTATGTCATATTTCAAACATCCAAATAATTATAAATAATAATATGGCAAACATTCATGTACTTTTTGCCAGCTTAAAAAAATTACAGACTAGGCTGGACTTGGTGGCTCAACCTGTAATCCCAGTACTTTGGAAGGTTGAAGCAAAAGGATTGCCTGAGCCCACGGATTCGACACCAGCCCAGACAACTTGGCGAGACCTCATCTCTACAATTATTTAAAAAAAAAAAATTAGCTGGGCATGGTAGCATGCACCTGTAGTTCCAGCTACTTGGAAGGCTGAGGCAGGAGGATCGCCGGAGCCCAGCAGGTCAACACTGGGGTGGTGCCGGGAGTGTCCCACTGTACTCCATCCAGCCTGAGCAACGGAGTGAGACTCCAACCCCCACAAAAAGAAAAAAAATTAAAGAATAAAAAAAATTACTTACATTGATACTCAGATTCTATCAGGGAGCACTTTTTTTTTCCTCTTTTAATTTTTATTTTGAGATTGTGGAGTACAATTCAGGGTTAGGTATACAAATATTCATTGTGCAGGTACCCTTATTGATGAGGTGTGCCCCCCCTTCCCCAGGTGGATATCAACTGCTGTCAATCCCAGCTACCCACCCTCCACCCCGCTCCCCGCAGTTTCCCACTACTTTCAATCCCTTCCTACAGTGATATGGTAGGTGTTCAAGGTCCACTTATGAGTGAGAACATGTGATGCTCATCTCTTTGTTTCTGTGAGAGATCACTCTGTATTATAAGCTCTAATTCCATCCATGTTGCTGTAAAGTTCATGATTTCGTTCTTCTTTATGGCTGAGTGATATTCCATTGTATATATGCACCACATTTTTTTTATCCAGTCCTCTTTTGATGGGCAGCACGGTTGGTTCCATGTTCTTGCTATTGTGAACAATGCTGCGATAAACGTACGTGTGCAGGTATCTTTTTTATAGAGTGACCTGAGTTCTTCCGGGTGTATTCCCAGTAGGGGAATTGCAGGATCATATGTAAGGTCAATTTTTAGAAGTTTTAGGAATCACCACACTGATTTCCACAGAGGCTGTACTAGTTTTCACTCCCACCAACAGTGTAAGAGTGTTCCCTTTTTGCCACATCCTCTCTAGCATCTGTTATTTTTGAGTTATTGAGGATGGTCATTCTGACTGGAGTTAAGTGGTATCTCAGTGTAGTTTTAATTTGCATCTCCTGGATGACTAGTGAGGCTGCACATTTTTTCCTGTGTCTGTTGGCTGCTCAATGTCTTCTTTTGAGAAGTGTCTATTCATATCTTTAGCCCACTTTGTAATGGGCTGTTTGTTTTTTTCTTTTCAGCACGTTTGAGTTCCTTGTAGATCCTTGATGTTAGGCCTTTGTCAGACATAGAGTTGGCAAATATTTTTTCCCAGTCTGTGGGCTGTCTCCCTGCTCTCTTAATGGTTTCTTTGGCTTTGCAGAAGCCTGTAAGTTTAATGAGGTCCCACTTGTCTATCTTATCTCTTATGGCCTGGGCACTTTGGGTTTTGATCAGGAATTGGTTGCCAGTTCAGGGAGCCCTTTAAACCACTTTTCAGTAAATAGTTTTAGGGTAAAGAATTGGTGCCTGAGGTGTAGAAAAGATTTATCACATACTTTTCAATTCTGGGAAAATGGAAAGTTTGGGATTAAGAAATTTTTGGAAAAGATGCATAAGGGAAGAAGGAAGGAATTGCTATACTGACAACATTTAGTCAAAAATTATTCTAAAAACATGTCTATGAGAGCATAGGAGAGCTACACTATCTAAGCTAGTTGTAGGTTATATAATTTTTTTGGATTTTGTTTACATTTCAGTTCTCAGTGTATCCCCCCATCATGGGTTCAAGGTTTTTTGTTTGTTTGTTTGTTTTTTAGCATTTTACGTGTCAACTTTCAATCATTAGACTTATCCAATAAAATAGAATGTTGATATGATGATTGCTTAGAATTTGGAAATACTCTCCACCTATTTATAAAATTATAAGGAGAAAATTAATTATCTATTCAGTAGGCTACATTGGTTGACTCATTATGTGACCTCTGTCTTTCACCAACAACCCACAGCCTGCTTGACTTCAGATGGGAGGGAAGGCTAGTGACTTGTTTCAGATGCATGATTTGTCTTAGAATAGTGATTCACAGCCAGGCACAGTGGCTCATGCCTGTAATCCTATCACGTTGGGAGGCCGAGGTGAGAGTATTGCCTGAGCCCAGGGATTTGAGAGACAGCCTGGGCAATTTGGTGAGACCTCATCTCTACCATAAATCAAGAAAAATTAGCTGGGTGTGATGGTGCACACATGTAGTTCCAGCTACTTTAAAGGCTGAGGTGGAAGGATCACCTGAGCCCAGCTGGCCGAGGCTGCAGTGGCCCTGAGTATGCCACTGCACTCCAGCCTGGGCTACAGAGCCCCAGTCAAGGAGGAGGCAGTAGCCGGGCTCGGTGGCTCAACCTGTAATCCCGCGCTTTGGGAGGCTGAGGTGAGGGGATTGCCTGAGCCCACAGGTTCGAGACCCGCCTGGGCAACTTGGTGAGACCTCATCTCTACAATAAATCAAAAATAAAGTTAGCCAGGCGTAGTAGCGTACCCCTGTAGTTCCAGCTACTTGGAAGACTGAGGTGGAAGGATCACCGGAGCCCAGCAGGTTGAGGCTGCAGTGGCTGAGAGCGGCCACTGCACTCCAGTCTGGGCGACAGAGTGAGACTCCGACTCAAAAAAAAAGGAAGAGGCAGTATACAATGACCCAGAACTAAGGTCCATTCCCCTGAAAGAGTGGTTTTCAAAATTTGTGTCCACGGTTCCTAACAGTGGGCAGAACAGGAATTTCTGTTTCCTGACACTAAAGCAACAGTTAAAAGGGGTCTTCCAAAAGTTCATGGAAAGTGCATATTATGAAAAAATTATGCATGGATTTAAGAATATTTTTGCAACATGATGAACTCGTGTGAGCTTGTTATAATATGATCTAAACAAGATCTACTTTGAGGCATTAAGAAAGATAAGGCAGCAATTTGGAAACAATCACTATCAGAGCAACATGAATTCTGCTAAAATTCAAGCAAGAACAAACATTGAAGCTTGGGTGAGAGAATGGTGAAATCACTTGTTTTCCTAAAAGTATATGGGGAAAATGTCCCCCCAAAATCAGTAGTACCAAAGGAATAACTCATTTTAAGAAGGAACAAGATGGATGTTGAATTTGAAATCCATAGCAGCAGACCACCCACATCAATTTGTTAGGGAAAAATTCATCTTCTTTATGCCCTGATTTTGGAGATACTGAAGGTGTTTTGCTTGCTGATTTTCTAAAGGGCCAAAGAAGAATAACATCTACTTATTATAAGAGTGTTTTGAGAAAGTTAGCCAAAACATTAGCAGAAAAATGGCCAGGAAAGCTTTACCAGAGAGTCCTTCTCCACTTAAAAGAATACTCCTCATTTCTCTCATCAAACAAGTAATTTTGCAAGAGTTTCAATGGGAAATCATTAGGATTTCAGTCCTGGTTTGGTTCATCTGACTTATTTTTGTTTCTTAATCCTAAAAAAATTTTTAAATGCCATGTATTTTTCTTCAGTCAATGTAAAAACAACTGCACTGACATGGTTAAATTCCCAGGACCCTCAGTTAATTAGGGATGTATTAAATGGCTGGTATCATTGCTTACAAAAGTGTCTTGGCTTTGTTGGAGCTTAGTTGAAAAAAAAAGTTTATATTTTTAATTTTTACCTTTTGATTCCATTTTTCCACAAACTTTTTGAAGTTCTCTTGTATTTGTTGATTTCCTTATATGGGAGCCCTATTGGGATAGAATCAAGAATGAAACTCTCAACTTATTGGAAAGAAGTAATATTGCTGATGTGAATCATAAGCATATTGTTAATTTGTGTGGAAACAGTGCTCCTTCTGCCCCGGCAGTGAATGCAGTGCTAAGTGGGGGCCTCTGGGAGGGCTCTTCTTGATGGTGGCTGTGTCCCAAAACTCTTTCTCCCTTCCAGCCTCCTACTGTGGACCAGCCCCTTGCCTCCTGCCTTCACTTGAGATTTGCTGCATTTCATGGTCTCATTTGCTGTTCAGAGCCGTTCATTTGTAGGTTTGGAGCTTGTAGAATGTTCTTCATAGTTAATAATGCATCTTCTCCATGGAGCTCTTTATACCTAAGTGTGTGAAAACTTTAACTGTCATTCAGGTTCACACCACCTCCCAAATTCAGGGAGATGATTCTGTGTGATCCCGTTAAAAACTAAACCTTTTCTATAATTTGGCATTGACAATTTAGGGAAACTGAAGCGACGCCAAGGTCAACTGATTTCACTTGACACATAGAATTGGGACCTCCAGTGGTTACCTGTTGGCTCCCTAAAAATGAAAATGGCCCCCTGACTTAAAATCCCCTGACAGCCACAATAAGCCAGAGTTCCCATATCCCTGGAATGCAGGTGTAAAAGGCAGTGAGTAGGACCCACCATCACCTGCAGCTGTGTCCTCAAGACTAATTGAAGGGTAGCATGTCCAGACCTGGCTTGGGACATGCAGTCTTAGCTATCTGACTTGGGCCTCTTGTTCCCACAACTCAGTGGGATGCCATCTTGCTGGGCATACCTTTGCCCAGTGCCCAGCAGAGGAAGGAAGAGATGTAGGGGTTTCCTGACTTCTGGATGCAGCTCTCAGACCTGGTGGGGCTCTGTAAGAATCCCATGATTGTCTCCTGCCCCCACCAAGAGCAGTAGTTAGGCAGAATTATGAGAAGTAATCTCTTCCGATCCCAACATAGCATCTGGGAGAGAGACTGAGCACTCCTGCCAATCACTTATTCTTTATTCTTTTCATGTCGTCATTGCGGGTTGCGCTAAGAAGAGATGAGTGAGTGTTTTGCAACATGAGAAAGTACCAAAACCCACCAGTGGAAGATGGGTGCTCCTGTCAGCACCTCTCCTTGATTCTGACGGGCAGGATCTCCATGGGAGCCAGCAAGGGTAACCAGGCTTCTCACTGACAGCCTCATCTTCCCTGCCTGGCTCTCTGCCATGGCATTCATGGTGGCCAGGACCTGTCCTCCTTAGGTCCCGGCTCTTACCTCCCTGGCATTTTGCCTGATCTTATGCAGTTCCTGAGGCCTGCAAAGACTTTACCTCTGCACACAATGAGCTCATCTGCCATTGTGCCTGAGAGCCCGTGTCCTACATGTGCTGGCACTTGTGCTGTGAGAGCAGGGTGGCAGGTGAGGTAGTTTTTTCTTTTTTAATGAAAGCTATTATATGCAGCCAGAGATTTAAAGTGTACCTTCGCCGTGCGGCACTTCTCTTCATGGCTTCTGTGTTTCTAGGTGTTTCCTAAGCACATGTGGGCATGCCTATAGGTGACACCTGTGGTTTGAGATTTTGATTGTTCAGACAGGATTTACCACCTGACTGTTGAGCCCCAAGCTGCCTCTCACTCTCTGAGAGACCCTCTTCGCCAGGAGTGAGGTCTGCCTGGCCTCTGCCCCAACACCAGTGAGCTTGACTCTAGGGTCTGCAGGCTTCTGCCCCTCCCTGTGGTACTGTGGCACTCTCCTATGCTAGTATGTTTATAGGGTCAGACCCTAAAATCAGAGTTGCAGGGCCAACAGATTTTATCAGAACACTGATACATTCTCCCAGGCTGTGCCCCAGCAGGGGAAAGCAGCAGGCATGGCTCCTGCAGGGAGAATTGCTGCTGTGTGGCCACCTGACCTCTGACTTGTCTACACCTGAATCTGTAGTTGCAGCAGGGCCCTCAGAGGGTGGAGCTCAGCATTTCGAAGGGGAACACTGGAAACACTCAGAGTCATGCAGGCATGTGGTGAGCACAGTGCAGATTTTGCTGTTTAGTTAGGCAGAATTATGAGAAGTAATCTCTTCCGATCCCAAATTACTTTCTTATTTGGGAAGTATGAACTTCTCATACTTTATTGCTTTAAGAGGTGTGCAGTCATTTTCAGAGGTTAGTAAAGTTGGACAAGCGTGGTGGCTTCTCCCTAGCTGGCATGGCTCTCTCATGGTGTAGCAGCCTGGGCTGCTGCTCCTGCTGCCCCGGCTGCCCCTCTAAGCTTGTTCCCTTCACCTGGGGAACATGTTACCCTGACATCTTGTCTTTGTCCCATTTGGTCCTCTACCATTTCCCAGCACCCTGCAGTCCTATGGTCCCCATGACCCATCTGAGCCGCCAAGGACAGGTCATGGGTGGAGGAGGTTTGGTGGGGATGGTCTGTTGGCGAGTTCCTAACAAAACCTAAAGAAGAGATGTCCTAGCTTCACTCTGGGATGATGAGGACTGGGGAGCTTAGAGTCTCCTGGTGCAGGAAAGGAAAGCAGGCGGAAGCAGTGAGGATTCCTTCTCTCCACAGGCTGGGTCCGATATGCTGAGCGGGTGCTGGGTCGCCCCATAACGACCCATCTCTGCACTGCCAAGTCCCCCCAGCAGGTCATGGGCTCTTTGGTGAAGGATTATTTCGCCAGACAGCAGGTAAGCCGACCTCTGCACAGAGGGCCCAGGAGGAGACTTCTGGCAATCTGTGTGAGGACTGTGAGAAGGGCAAGCAAGGAAGCGCTGTGGCATGGGGCCCCCGTAGGGGGAGCGTCCCTCATGCATCCAGGGTGATCATGGCCCCCTGGGTGAGCACCAGGGAAACTGTGGGCACATCTGCAGTACTATTTCCCACCAATGTCAATCTCTGTGCTTCTCTTTCTTTTGTAATCTCTCCTTTCTCCTTAACCTTTTCTGTGGCATCTGGTGGCTCTCCTGGATCTACTCTGGGCTGCATAGAAACGCTGCCTGCCTTGTTTTGAGTAGCGAGGCCCTAGGCCTCACCCATGTTGCCCACCTGCTGCTGGAGCACCTCACCAAGGGAAGCCCAGTATGGCCTGTGCCCAGAGGCTGAGGGCCACTGTCACTTAGGGAGTCAAATCTGGCCTCTGCTCTGGCCTTTCCCTCAAACTGTGGGCTAACTTCCTTAACCACTTCCATGAGATTCTGCAGCACTCAAGGCACTGTCCTCCACTTGATGGAATGAATCCCAGTCTGGCACTCCTGCATGTTCCCTACCTCCCACCCATCCACAGACCTTGGCAGCCTCTGGGTCCAAGCCTGGGTTCACCCAGAACTCCTTGACTTTTCCAAGGCCACCCTCAAATAGGCCTTCATCCTGTGGTTTATTCTCCAGCCACTGGTGTGCCCTTCTCAATCAGGCTTTATGCCCCTCCTGGGGAACAGTCATGTTCAGGCACTGTGGTAACTGGAATAGACAGCAAATTCAGGACCTTTCAAACACTTGAAGTCAACCTGAAAAGCCACAGACACTTGGTGGCCCTATTATTTTAGCAATAAGGAGTGTTTTCTTTCTATATGGTTTGTTCATAAAATTGCCATGGTTGACAAATCATAAATATGTATGTATAAGCAGGAGAAAAAAAATGAGCTAAAAGACTATCCCTTCTCCTTGCCCTTTGGAGTTCACATGTTTCTCAGTCTTCTTTTTTTTTTGAGTTGGAGTCTCACTCTGTTGCCTGGGCTGGAGGGCAGTGGCACACTCCCACCCACCACAGCCTCGGCCTGCTGGGCTCAGGTGATCCTTCCATCTCAGCCTTCCACGTAGCTGGAACTATAGGCGCATGCTACGACACCCAGCTAATTTTTTTATTTACTGTATAGACGAGGTCTCACCATGTTGCCTAGGCTAGTCTTGAACCCGTGGGCTCAGGCATTCCTCTCGCCTCGGCCTCCCAAAGTGCTGGGATTATAGGCTTGAGCTACCACGCCCGGCCTGTTTCTCAGTCTTCTAAGTGCAACCAGCCTGCCCTCCCTGGCTCAAGCCCAAAGCTCCAGGTCCTCTTGCAGGTGTTTTGGGAGACAGCCAAACCTCAGAAACCTGTCCTCCAGCTGCCTCTAGTCTGACTGCCTGGGGACTGCAGCAAGGGACGAGTTTCTTCTACTTCTACTCTTCTCTACTCTGCCCCTATGGCCTTTCTACCCAAGCTTCACCATTAGGGTCACTCAGCAACCACTGACTCCTGGCTTTGCCACCTATTCTGGCTCAGCTGCAGGCACTTGCTCCCTGTGGCAGAGCCCCAGGAGAGGGGAAGCCTGGGGCCGTGTCACTTAGGAAGCTTCCGGGAAGTTTGCGAGTGAACCAATTGGAGCTCATACCCACACCCAGACCTCCAGTGACAGTCTCACATTGGGCTTGCCCTTACTTGTTTTGTTCCTATGTACATAGATTTAAGAGGAAAGGGACTCAGCTTTCCTCGTTTTTTTTCAGGGAGACTCCACAGCCTGTTGGGCCTTGTGGATAGTTTGGGTGGCTCAAACTCTGTCTAGAGTGAGGCAGCAGATACTCACAGCCTGGGTGCTGGTGCTTGGTGGAGTTGAGGGTATGGGAGCCAGACATGCCCACAGCAGCCCCAAGCCCCAAGAAAGTGTTGCACAGAGGGGTGGAAAGTAGAGGCAGAGATGGCAGCAGGTGAGATTCTCCTGTCCCTTATGTTCTGGCTGCCTACTGTAAGCTGCCATTGTCACCTCTCCACCAGCCCAAAACTTGGGATGCCCTTCCTCCACAGAACCTGCCTCCAGAGAAGATTTTCCATGTCATTGTGGCCCCTTGCTATGACAAGAAGCTGGAGGCTCTTCGAGAAGGCTTTTCTACTGCTTTGCATGGTTCCTGGGGTGCTGATTGTGTGTTAACGTCAGGTGAGAGGTGGGGATGGTCTGCACATGGGCACTGGGCGGGTCTCTGGCTGACACATACCAGCACTGGGCAAATATTCATCACCAAGCTGTCTTGGTGCCTGTCACTGTGATCATTATCATAGGTCACTGACAGCTGAGGATCCTTGGGGTCTAATTGGATGAAAAGTGAAGAGAATGATGATGTGTGATCCAGTGTCCTTTCTCTTCTCTGCATCTTCTTCTAGATAAGACAGTCTCTGGGAGAGACGCTTGGGCAACATGGCCTTAATTTTACATTACAATCTGCTTATCACACTTAACTCTTGGTAGGAAAAGTCATATATAACCATAGAAGTTCTCCTTTAACAAACCAAATGTGCACTTATGACACAAGTGAAGCTTTTCTCATTCAGAGTAAAGTGGAGAAGATGATTTGCTCCAGTGACATTGCCATCGGCACCGCATCAACAACACTTTTTAGATGTTAAGAGCCTGTAACAGGTTCTTTGTGTGTTGTGAATGGAAATCACTCCTTGGAATTGTGGAGACCCATTCACAAGAATGTTGATATCTGTTGGTGGGGGGAGCTTAAGACTGTTAAAATTCTGGCAGATCTGTTTTAATTGGGCTCTAAAAATAAGTCCCCACAAATGTTTAGATCAGTGATGGATTAGGCAGAGCAGTCGGCTCTTGGGGGACAACCTTTAAGTCACTGATTTCCCTCATGGTCCCCTGACCCGAAATTCCAGGATACAGTTGCCCCTGGAATGATCTCTGTCCTGTAAATGTAGGTTCCCTGTGAGGTATGGCAGGAGGGTTGAGGGACAAAGAGCCCTTGGCAGTGCAATCACTTCCTGGGGAAGGGGGCCAGAGGCCATCTGCTTATGTTGACAAGATAAGAACTTGTATGGTGGGCTGTGTGAGAACCGTATCCAGCCGTCTTTTCTCTGTGTGCAGATTTGCAGTAGACTGTACTATGTTCTCACATGTGTTCCCAGCCATCTCACAGTATCTGGCCTCATAGCTATTGTTTCAGAGACTCACTTCTATTCAGGAATCCTAGGAAATACAGAAAGTGGTTCTGATTTTCATTTGGTCTCATTTCAGAATAACTATACCTCATATAAATGCAGCCAATATATTTTTGGTCATCCTATTCATGTAAACAAAAGTTTTCTTCTTGGTTCATGCGAAATGACCCCAAAAAAGTTTTCTGCTAGGAAACAAAATCATGGAGACATTATATGCATAAATTCTTAAGTTCAAGAGCAGAGAAAAGAATTAGAATTAAACTCCCTAGCCGAGTCAGTGGCTCAGCCTGTAATTCCAGCACTTTGGGAGGCCAAGGCAAGTGGGTTGCCTGAGTCTGCGGGTTCGAGACCAGCCCTGGCAACTTGGCGAGACCTCATCTCTACAATAAATAAAAAATAAAGCCGGGCTCGGTGGCTCAGCCTGTAATCCCACGCCTTTGGGAGGCTGAGGTGAATGGATTGCCTGAGCCCGCGGGTTTGAGACCCGCCTGGGCAGCGAGACCTCATCTCTACAATAAATCAAAAAAAATCAGCCGGGCGTGGTAGCGCATTCCTATAATTCCGGCTACTTGGAAGGCTGAGGCGGAAGGATCGCTGGAGCCCAGCAGGTTGAGGCTGTGGTGGCCGGTAGCGGCCACTGAACTCCAGTCTGGGCGACAGAGTGAGATTCCAACTCAAATAAATAAATAAATAATTAGCTGGGCGTGGTAGTGCACATCTGTGGTTCCAGCTACTTGGAAGGCTGAGGCGGAAGGATTGCTGGAGCCCAGCAGGTTGATGCTGGGATGGCCATGAGCATGCCACTGCACTCCAGTCTGGGCAGTGGAGTGAGACTCCAACTCAAAAAAAGAGTTAACTCCTCTTACATTTTGTTAGTGTTTCATTTTATTAGTGTTACTTGCCCTTGAGATGGGATCCTGCTATTTTATAGCAAGAGGGCATCTAAGGCCATTAATGTCAAATTTCCTACAGTGGAAGGAGAGTTGGTATTCCAGTAGCATGAACCATCTGTGTCCTTTCACAGTGTCTCATACTTCTTGTTTGTCTGTAGGTGAAATTGCACAAATAATGGAGCAAAATGACCTCTCAGTGAAAGATGCTGCCGTCGATACTCTGTAAGTGGCTTCTGTGGGAGGGTCCCCTGGTGGATAGGGACTACTGTGAGCCCTGTTGACCGCTCTACCAGTCCCAGGGCTGCCCTGCTTTACGATAAGGCCACTGACATGTGGTCTCCCTACAACTCCACCACAGCCATCAGCCACCTTTCTGGCTGTTGAATTGAACACGGGCAGAATCCTGGGATGGATTGTCATTCACCAAGGCTTCCAGGGAGTCTAGGGACTTGGTGGGCATCCATGGTGTAATAGTCACCCTAACCCTCAAGGAAGGAGGAGAAGCACAAACAGCTGTGTCCTTGCCGGGGCAGGGCCATGAATTTGTGCACCAGCACCTTCCTTTCCAGTTGACATCTGTTTCTGACATTCTGTGTTGCTTCAAGGGAAACACAGTAAATTCCTTGTGTCCTTTTGCACCAAGAGCAGCAGGCTGGGCTCTGCTGGCGGTGGTGACCCTGACGCCCTGAATGCCTTTGGCACCTGCTGAGTCCCAGGCACTGAGTGGAGAGCACTATAAAAGCCAGCAGCATATGTCCTCCTTGAAGTTCCATGACCCGTGTGCTGCGCTGTGCCCCTTTTGTGGAAGGTGGGACTGAAATTTTCAGAATTTAAGCAACTGGAGCACCTATTAGAGCTTGTACTCAGGCCGGGGATGACCAAAGGTCCTCGTCCTAGCCTGGGCATAGGCATGCACACCTTCTCAAGTCCCCCTGGAGATTCACAGGCTGTCAAAGAAAAGTAAATAAATAAAACCAGCCTAAGCATAACACCCTCACCTGCAATCTCAGATCAGATCACAAAATGAAATTTCATGTTAATAATTAAAAATTGGCTGGGCTCGGTGGCTCAGCCTGTAATCCCAGCACTTTGGGAGGCTGAGGTGAGTGGATTACCTGAGCCAGCGGGTTCGAGACCCACCTGGGCAACTTGGCGAGACCTCATCTCTACAATCAATCAAAAAATTAACTGGGCATGGTAGCGCGCGCCTGTAGTTCCAGCTACTTGGAAGGCCGAGGCGGAAGGATCGCCGGAGCCCAGCAGGTTGAGGCTGCTGCAGTGGCTGGGAGCGGCCATTACACTCCAGTCTGGGTGACAGAGTGAGACTCCAACTTTAAAAATAATAATAATAATAATAATTAAGAATCAGTGAAAATGAGATTTTCTTCAAAGTGTGGACATTTGTAGGGGATTTAACTTTTTAGTAGCAACTTTGGATCATAATACCTTTTGGAAGTCTGGTTTCACTCTTGCTGTCACTTTGCATCAGCATTAATGATGGAGTTGTCTTTTCTCTGCCTGGTGAGGTTTGGAGACTTGAAGGAGGAAGAGGTGATGCGCCATGATGGAGCCAGCTCAGATGGATACCTGGCACATATCTTCAGACATGCAGCCAAGGAGCTATTCAATGAGGATGTGGAGGAAGTTACCTACCGATCCCTGAGGTGTGGGGCGCCCTGGGCAGGTTGCCTACAGCCAGCAGTGTGTGTGCATGAGTGGTGTGTGCATGGTGTGTGAGCTTGCATGGTTATTCTATTTATAGTTTATGCCAGTCAAAATCAAAACACTTATGTGCTTATTCAGACTTTTTATTTTGTTGACATTCCAAAATTAGATTAGAAAATGATCCTTAAATCATAGATAAAGGACTTGATAATCCATTTTGTTCATTTTATAGAAACAAAGACTTCCAAGAAGTCACCCTTGAAAAGAACGGGGAGGTTTTGTTACGCTTTGCTGCCGCGTATGGCTTCCGAAACATCCAGAACATGATCCTGAAGCTCAAGAAGGGCAAGTTCCCATACCACTTTGTGGAGGTCCTCGCATGTCCTGGAGGTGAGACACCAAGAGCAGTGCCTAACTGAGTGGCTCCTGTGGGTGCTTGGGCAGCCTTGTAGCCACCAGAGGAGATGGGGCCCTCTTGGCCACCCAGTGCCTCACTCCAGCCCTGACAGCTTTGCAGGGGAGAGGATGCTGCCCTGGAGCTTGTGCTGGGACGTGCTAGGCTTGACTGGTTTTGCTCTTTCTCTCAAACCAGGTAGTGTGAAAAGAGTGGGCAGTTAAGCCGGGCTCGGTGGCTCAGCCTGTAATCCCGCGCCTTTGGGAGGCTGAGGTGAGTGGATTGCCTGAGCCCGTGGGTTCAAGACCCACCTGGGCAGCGAGACCTCATCTCTACAGTAAATCAAAAAATCAGCCGGGCGTGGTAGCGCATGCCTGTAGTTCCAGCTACTTGGAGGGCTGAGGCGGAAGGATCCCTGGAGCCCAGCAGGTCAGGCTACAGTGGCCGGGAGTGGCCGCTGCACTCCAGTCTGGGCGACAGAGTGAGACTCCAACTCAAAAAAAAAAAAAAAAGTGGGCAGTTAAATGTCACCTTAGATATTCTCTTGGGGTCTTGCCCTGGGGAGGTCTCACATGGTACCAGGTGAGAATCGGCCCCTGTGTCAGCTGGTATGGTGCACACGAGTGAAGGCACATCGGACAGCCTATGTGGGAGAGATGGCCCCACCTCCTGCCAGGAGCTAAGGATGAGCCAGACTCTGTCTTTGAGAGACCAGTGTGATAGGTGGAAGCAGAAAGAGGTTGACTGTGCCTTGGCGGGCTCCTCCACTGCTTGGAGGGAGGGTGGGTCATTGTAGGTTGCCATACTCCAGGCAAATGAGGAGAGGATCCCAGACTGGGGGAGGAAGGATAAAGGGACGATGAGAGGAGACCAGAGCCAGGACAGGGCTGGGGTCCCCTGGAAGGACTTGCCGATGGAGTGGCTGTGGCTGTTAGGGAAAGAAGGGAGCCCCTGACCCATGGTGGTCCATCCCCAGCTGGAGAGCCAGGGATATCTGCGCCATTCTGATTGGGGATGCCACAAGGTTCTGGAATGGAAATGCCAGTGCAAGCCCAGCTAGAGGAGAGGCTCCACTGATGGCATGTGAGTCAGACAAGGTTAAAGTCCCAGGACAAGAGGAGACATGGTCTGAGGCTCCCTCCCTGGTGTCCTGTGACATGAAGGATCTTGTTGAGAAGGAGGGGAAAACCCTTAGTATTAAGAAGAGGGGGTAGCCATGCACAGTGGCTCATGTCTATAATCCCAGCATTTGGGGAGGCAGACATGAGAGGATTGCCTGAGCTCAGGGATTCAAGACCAGCCTAGGCAACTTGGCGAGACCTCATCTCTACAATAAATCCAAAAACTTAGCCAGGCATGGTGGCACACACCTGTGGTTCCAGCTACTTGGAAGGCTGAGGTGGAAAGATCTCCTGTACCCAGCAGGTTGAGGCTGCAGTGGCCATCAACATGCCACTGCACTCTAGCCTGGGTGACAGAATGAGACTCCTACTCAAAAAAAAAAAAAAAAAAGAGGTGAGGGCAGAGAGGCCAACACTAGCTTTTGGAGCATATGGGGCCTTGGAGTCGTCACTGAGCATGTCAGGCACAGAAGGGCAGATCCCGAGGCTGGACTAAGGACTAGCCAGAAGGCAGATGTGAAGCTGGGCCCTTGGAAGCCACAATGTACTCTGCATGTAAGTGGGCAGGGACTGGGAGCTGAGGAAAGAAAATGAGAGCTCTCTGGGAAAGTGGAGGTTGGCAGTCAGCTGCTGGTACCACCACCCTGGAACTAGTAGAAGTGAGGTTTTATCAGGGTGTGGATTTATTCTAATTTTTTTTTTTTGGCATAGGAGTCTCACTCTGTCGCCCAGGCTGTGGCATACTCACAGCCACTGCAGCCTCGACTTGCTGGGCTCAAGAGATTCTTCCACCTCAGCCTTCTAGGAAGCTTGAACTACAGGCGAGCACCACCACACCTAGCTAATTTTTGTATTTATTGTAGAGATGAGATCTCACCAAGTTTCCCAGGCTGGTCTCGAACCCCTGGACTCAGGCAATCCTCTCACCTCTGTCTCCCAAAGTGCTGGGATTACAGGTATAAGCCACTGTGCCCGGCTTGAATTTTTATACTATTAATCATGATATCATCTAACACATTTGAGAGTAAGTAGCACCAATATGTAGGAGACCGATTTTCAGACTACTGTGTCTAGGTGTGTGGGCCCAGTGTGCAGATGGGGCCTTGCACACTGACACCAATGTGTGGCACAGGCAAGAGTAGTTAGTTTGTTCACAATCCCCTGCCGTCCTGGATTTGAGAAATTTCAAGAGAAGTTGGAAACAGATTTGCTGATAGAACCACCCAGTTCTAAGAGGTTGGCAACTCACTTAGGTCTTAGTTAAACCCATTTCTTGGGTAAATGGGTAAGAATAAAAGGCATGGAGCTATGAGCCTAGGACCAGCATCCCTTCAGCCTCAGAGAAAGCATCCCTGGCCAGCCCAGGCTTAGGCCATGCGATGCTATACATCCCTTTCCTTCCTCTCTTCCCAAACCATCTTCCCTCTAAAGCAAAAGAAAGCTTCCTTAAGACTGGTTATCCTGAGGGAAAAGATAAGCTTACCTGTGTTTGTCCCTCAGGATGCTTAAATGGCAGAGGCCAAGCCCAGACCCAGGACGGACATGCAGACAAGGCTTTGCTGCGGCAGATGGAAGGTATCTACTCTGACATCCCTGTACGACCCCCAGACTCCAGTGCACACGTGCAGGAGCTGTACCAGGAGTGGCTGGAGGGGACTGACTCCCCTAAAGCCCAGGAAGCGCTGCACACCACCTACCAGAGCCCAGAGCCCTGCACACACAGCCTGGACATCAAATGGTGAAGGAAGTCAGGCAGGGCCATGCAGCTGCTCTGGTGGCCAGTGCTGCTCTGAGGAGGAGGAGGGGCCGCTGAGTGTGGAGTATTAAAGACACTTGAAGAAAACAGCTCAATGAGTTACTTGGGTTTCTCAGAGTTCCTTCCTACCCTGTCTGTTGGAAGCCCCTTACAGTTTCATGTGGTGCTACCTTCATAATATGTGTGGGATTAGATTGTTTTCACATGAGAGAAGTATCCTTTTATCCTAACGTTGTGAAAAAACCCAAAGAGTAAAAATGTAGACAGACTACTGTCTTTTAGATTTAAAAAAAGAATCAGCGCATGCCTGTAATTCCGGCTACTCGGAAGGCTGAGGCGGAAGGATCGCTGGAGCCCAGCAGGCCGAGGCTGCGGTGGCCGGGAGCGGCCACTGCACTCCAGTCTGGACGACAGAGTGAGACTCCAACTCAAAAAAAAAAAAAAAAAAAAAAAAAAAAAAGAATCAAAAGTGTCATGTGAAGAGCTAAAACCCCCCAAAAGTTCTCATCCCCGTGCCTTAGAGGTCATTTGATGTAGAAATAAGGGTGAGAGGCAGCCCAAGCTGTCTCTGTAGTTGTCAGAGTGGGTGCTACACGGTCCCAGAATCCTGCCCAGTGTGGCTTTATTCTTACCCACTGAGAGTACCCTTGAAAATATTTTTCTAGAACTTTAATAAACGGCCAGACTTTTAGAATCAGGAGACGCATTCAAATCTGAACTTCCAACTTTTCTTGAAAAAAAAAATCATAAGTTCTGGTGAGACTAGGCTACTTTCCTTATAGCCAGTCATCAAAGTGCAAAAGCTACCACCTTTCTGGGACCACATAGGACCCTGGGGACGCTGGCAACTCAGGCCCCAACTCAAACTTGTACATTCAGTCTTTGAGTTGAACTCATCTCAAGGTAGGGGAAAGGCCCAGCAGGGGTGACAGATATCACAGAGATCAAGAAGGCTGACTGCACAGGCTTTGTGGGTTCCAGGGAGCCCCCTCAGGTCTTCTTCAGTACCATCGTGGGGGAAGTCAGAGAGTGAAGACCCCCCTCTCCAACCCTGCAGAGGGCGAGACAGCTTTCTGGTGGTCTGGCCTCCCCTGCACTCTCCCATCGCCCTTCTCAGATGGGTTTTTTCTCTCATTACACGTGGTCCTGGCACAGGCCCTGGGACAGTACCTTTCCACACATGCCTGCACTGCTGGCAGAAGGTAGCCCTACAAAGGACAAAGCAGTGTGTCCACAAACAGGCGGCTGGCAAATACCTGGAAATCCACAAAACCACATTACTGCACACGAGGGTTCCTCCTGGGAAATGAAAGATGCTGACAAGGCTTGGGGTGGTTTCACAGAGTACCTGGATTTGGTGAACAGGACCAATGGCCTTTGTACTGTCAGTGCTGGGAAGCCTCGCATGTGCTCTGTGATGTGTACCTGTTCTGATGGATAACTGGGTATATTGTGCTCATTGTATATTGTTTTGCATTCTATTTATATACAATTGAGTGTCCATCCTCTTAAGTAACTGACCATGGAATAAACAGTTGAAGTGTGTCTGAGTGAGAGGGTTTAGTGAGCCACATGCTTTTGTCCCCAGTGGGGCGACCTTGTCCCTCACCACTGCCCGGTCCACGTGGCCACATCTGTGCCTCCTGAGCTGTTACCTGATGTGGAGTCAAGAGAGTCATCCTCGGTCTCCCTCCAGGAAGATGTCAGCTCTAGGAGTCAGGGATGGAGGGCTCCTCTGTTCAGCTACATGAAGAAATCACCCTTCTGGAGTGACCATAACACAGCCTACTAAAGCCAACCTGCCACAGAGCCTCGCCTGCTGGTCATGTAGGAGCCAGACTGAGGAACTAGATGCTAAAACATGAGATGCCAGGGCTCTAACCTGTGGCTGGTGGTGAGCTAGGCCATATGTGCTTTTTCTTCTGCAGGAGGAAAGTAAGGAAGTTTTCTTTCATTACAACCCAAATGGTACTAGTAGGTCAAGGAGAACAAGAGTGAGAGGGGCAACAGCATGGTCAGCTGGCGATGGCATCTGCTGGTGAGCCTTGCTTGTCATGATAGGAAGAGAAGAACAAGAGGAACCCTGCCATTCAGGAGCACTGCAGTCTGAGTTTCGGTGCTGCCATGGGCCTGACCTGATGAACGTGTGTGGTGCCCACGATCTGGCTGGCAGAACCCAGGTTTACCAGTTCCATTTCCACCTGGCCTTGCACCTGTTCCAGCCAGTGTAGACTGTCCATGCTGATCCTTCCTTAGCATTGCTGCAGTTGCAGATTGGAGCTAATTCACTGTGCTTGCCCCGTTGATTTAACTCTGGCCTAGGGTGTGGAGCCAGGGTGTGCTGCCTTTGAGGGTAGCCGGTGGGCCCAAAGCTGAGCACCTGAGGCATCCAGGCACATGGCCTGCCATGGTCAGGTGACTTAAATGCTGAGTCCAGACCAGAGATGTCTGAGGAGGGAACTGCAGCCCAGGCAGTGACTAACTTGCCCAAGGTCAGTCACCCTCCAGGCAGGGCCCAACGTCTGCATTTCCACTCAGCTCTCTCCACATGAGCATTTGACTTTTTTCCCAGTCAGTCTTTAGCAAATAGAGCATCTGTCTAAAATGAACAAACCCTTGAGTCTGATGACTGGAAGGTGAACCCCTCCCCCTGCCCCCCAGAGAGTGTGGTATCATTTTGGGTACAGGCTGGACTCATAACAAGGAGAGCATGTGCCAGAACTGAATATATATTTTTAAATTGAAATGCAATTATTTTTGCCCAAAAGACAGGCAAGCAATTTTTACAAAGGATTAACTCAGTGAGACAAAGAGGTGTTAATAGCTGTTGGCAAAATGTTGTTTGGCAGTAATGGTCCAACTTCAACTGCAAGCAGAGGCCCCAGAGTCTGACTCTAAGGAACCGTTCCTAAAGTTACTCTAACAGATGCTTGGTATGCAAGGGCAGCATCTAACTGTAAGCTCATTAGGGGTGCTGGGCATATGTGTGTCAGGATGTCCAGATGTGGGATTCCAGGAGCAGTTGAAGCATGGAGTAGATATTTATGTCCTGACATGGTAATCTCAGAACAACACACACAGTATGAGCTCTTCTTTCTTTTTCTTTTTTTTATAATCAATATTTTTTATTAGGATATTGTGGGGTACAGTTAAGGGTTAGGTATACAAATATGCTTCATTCAGGCACCCTTGTTGATAAGAGGTGTTTCCCCTGTCCCCAGACATATATTTACTACCATTAATCCCATCTCCCTTCCCCTGCCCCCTCCCCCCCAACTCTTTTCTCTAAAGCAAAACTAAGGAGGGGAAAAGTGGATATTAAAAAGAAAAAAGAAGCCGGGCTTGGTGGCTCAGTCTGTAATCCCATGCCTTTGGGAGGCTGAGGTGAGTGGATTGCCTGAGCCCGCGGGTTCGATACCTGCCTGG